AAACTGGAATCACCCTATAGACATATCATACGCAATTGTATTGATACTAAATTGTGGAATAAATTTGAAGTGTTTGGTTAAATGTCAAAGTACTACTTTGTTTGCCAATCAGCACGCGACAATACGCTGTTCAAACTATTGAACGAAATTGTGTGGACTGTCGATAAGGCGGGCATTTTTAATTTTAATTATAAATTATAAGTTAAAAAAGAACATAAGAGGCAGAGAAAACGTAAATATAAGTATTGAACTGTTTCTGTATGGTATTTATGATCTATTTGAATGACACAGCTTTGCCAGCAAACAAATCATAATGCGCTAGCGCGCATTATGTTGTTTGCTTGCAAAGCTGTGTCATTCAAATAGATCATAAATACCATACAAAAACAGTTCAATGCTTAACTAAACTTCATTAATAAACCTAGGACATGCGGAACTTAATTTCTCTTCTAAATGCTAGCTGTTGGGAGGCACACCGGACTAAAAACAAAATGAGTTTGGCTGTTTTAATCCCCAATAGTCTGTAAAATAACCGAGTTAGACATTTTACAGATATATATATGTAAATCAATGGCCTTGTGACTGTTATCAATAAATTCACTGTACATAAAGTGTCCTGTCGTAACATTTGATTTTGATAACTTAAAAACAGGACATCTTATAAAAATGATTACACTTTTCATTTAAAATATTTACAACATCACAAAATGTTTTGAAATGACACATAGTTTACAGTTCATTTATCAATCTAGGTTACTTAGCCTTTCTTTCTTGTTATAATCTGTTAAAATATTTTACCATGGAGTTTTACTATGATTTTAATGTTTTTTGCATGGCAACATCTACTGTGATATGGGCCAGAATGCCTCTCAACATTTTGTAAAAGGGAAATTAAGCTCCGCATGACCTAATTATATAAGTTAATTTTGGATAAAGTGTCATTTTGTAACATTCAATTGGGTCGCAAAAGAGATTGACACGTTTGAAGTCCGGTGAACTATTTTTTTATAAAAGCTTCGTCCTCAAAACCTTATGACAGACTACTTTAATGTCGATATGTACCATTTTAATACCTGACGTACATAGAGAATAATACATGCCTTTTTCCATATCACACCCAGTATCAACCCGAGACTGCAATATCAGCCCAAAGGCCGAAGGCCCGAGGGCTGATATTAGTTGAGGGTTGATACTGGGTGTGATATGGAAAAAGTGATGTTTTATTCTGTTTATTACATACTTACTAATAAAAGCTACTATCTTATGAGATAAATTTTTCTTTTGAAATATTGAAAAACGAAAATAAAATCAAAAAGGGGTGTGGAAAAAGTCATGATTTATTCTGTTTATTACACACTTACGAATATTTTATTTTTTTTACGATAATTTTTTTCTTTTGAAATATTGAAAAACGAAAAAAATTCCAAAAGGAGTGTGATACGGGTTTTGCGGGCTGATACGGGTTTTGGGGTGTGATACGACGGGGGCTGATACGGTTTTTGGGGTGTGATACGGCGAGGGTTGATATGGGTAAGAGCAATTGTGTCGTATCGCATATACAAAAAACCCGTATTTATTAGTAAGTATGTAATAATTACATTCACACTAAACATATAAGGTCCGGTTTTTTTTTTTAAATTTCTGACTTATTCGTTTGTTGGATTTGAGATTGATTTTACCATCTCTCAGGGGGCTTGTTGTATCTTAAGGTAACTAAAGAGGAATTTCTTAGGTAAATTCAGATGTTTATGTATGACTTAAGACTTAAATAAACTAGTGAACATGCGTTAACTCTGATGAAAAAGTAGAGGGAATTAAAAAGTAAAACTATGGCTATAACAGTTACTAATGAAGGGTTACCTCAATATGTTCAAATCTTCATTGTTCTTTCTAACCCTCCAACATAACCAATTCTTCAGAGCGATAGATATTTTAAATTTTATCTGGAACGATAAAAGCATACTGTTAGGATAAATCCGTCTGAGCTTTACTGAAATCTTAAAAAGATCGTGGATTAAAAACTCTTTCTGAGTCTTAAAATATTTTCTCAATGGAAAACAACTTTCCAAAATATGATTTTCCTCCACTACAAATATAATTTAGAAAATGTTTCAAAAGGTTTTGTTCCTTTCTTGAGCGATGCATTCCAATTGGGAAAATTTACAAAAAAAAAGAAGCGGGACGGAGTACGTTCAAACATTTTGTACATTAACTAGTTTGGCAGAGTCACCATACATTTGTTTATTAATGCAAAATACAAAAGTTCATTATCAGCTTTGACAAATGCACTGTAGAAAATCTGGTGTATTCGGATGCCAAGCTCACTCGGCTAAATGGCATTGATTCACACACTGGTATAATAATGGTACATTGTAACAAAAAGTTATACTAAAATGACTAACTTCGTATAAAGTCTTCTTATGTTACCGTAAGGAAACAGTTTAACGAGCTGTTAGTGGGGCGGTAAACCCAATAAAACCGAATCCTTTCAACATAAAGAACAGTTGTGCAGAGATATGCCATCACATTACGTTCGTAGAGTGGAATAAAGTATAGTCTGTTCATCTGTTGTCCTGTATATCACTAAACACAATTAATTGTTTTAGGACAAAATAGGAGATACCAAACTGTGTTGTTAGTGAAGAAAAAACACAATCTTTATCACATATTTCCTGGCATTTAAACACCTCATAACAAAATGGCAGTCATTCTTGTCGATCATGGTATAAAATGGAGTCTGATAATGAAGTCCTCCCAGTGTGCTGGTTTTATTGGTTTTATCTACTCTTGTGACAGAAGGAGAGATGCAAAACAAACTCCGTAAGTATATGATATTCAGTTAGAGGAGTACTGGTTTATTTCAAATTAAATAGTCTGTGAAGTGTGTACATTATAAACCATACCACCACCCAAAATAGATAACTGCCTATCAAGGTTAAGGAAAACTTCGGGAACAAAGAAATAACTGAGACTATCAAGGTTACAGCAAACTTCGGAAACAAGAAATCAAACAGCCTACCACCTGGTGTCTATAAATGTTAACGTACGACACACAGGACTAGGGCCAAAACGAGGAAATCCAGTCTGAACTAGTGTTGAAATAGAAGAGGAGATGCGCAAAGCCCTGTAAGTCTACTGCTTAATGGCAATGTTCGCATTGTGACCTTTGAAAGTGATCGCGGTGTGGTCACTTTTGCGTTGTCAATAGTTCTTAACGCAATATATTCCATTTAGAAATAATCTATAAAGAAATATTCGCGAACATTTCCACACCTCGAAAGTTTCTGATTTTACAGTATAAAATTAAGTGTGGGCACATTATACAGCTGTCGTATAATTGTGGCTGTAAAAGTCCTGAGAGTAGGTTGAAGAATGTCGGATAGACATCAAGGCTACCTTTGATTACAAGCACGCATTCTTGTTGAAGAGACATCCATGACATGCACCCTTGATTACCAGAATAATCTGCTATAATCTACCATGGAAGAGAAAGTTACAATCAGGATATTATAAACATCACATGTATAACATCGTTGGGTAATAAGGCGACAAGTATTGGAGTAATGTAAATGTCAATAAAGGAGAATGTTGAAGAGACTATAAGTTTGCACTCCGTCCGTCCGTCCGTCCTTCCGCCCAAGAAGTTTGTCCGGGGCATATCTTCCATGCTATTTCACCTGGAGTAATCACATTTGGTGTACAAGGACATCATGGGATGGAGGATTGCAGAGTACAAGAATAGTCACTATGACTTCACTTTGACCTTTGACCTTAATTCTAGAAAAGTTTTGTCCGGGGCATTTCTTCTATACTGTTTCACCTGAGTAACCAGATTTGATGTACACGGACGTCTTGGGATAGGGGAGTGCCGTATGCAAGAATCAGGTCACCGTGGCCTATGACTTGACCTTTGACCTTTACTTTTGAAAATGTTTGTCCGGGGATATCTTGTGTACTTGTTCACCTGGAGTAACCAGATTTGGTGTACAAGGACATCTTGGGATGACGGAGTGCAGAGTGCAAAAATTATGTTACTGTTACCTATGACTTGACCTTTGACCTTTACTATCTTCTGTACTATTCACCTGGAGTAACCAGATTTGGTGTACAAGGACATCTTGGGATGACGGAGTGCAGAGTGCAAAAATTATGTCACTGTTACCTATGACTTGACCTTTGACCTTTACCATCTTCTGTACTATTCACCTGGAGTAACTAGATTTGGTGTACAATGACATCTTGGGATGGCGAGTGCAAGAAGTAGGTCACTATGACCTCACTGTGCTTTCAACAGTAGGTACATCCTGACATAAGTGTACTGTTTGTTAAATATAGAAATCATTACCGGGGGACTATGGGATGCCTTGCATACTTTGCCTTGTTATTTACGCTATGAACAACTTTTAAGTCCTTGTTTAGAGCAAACCGGCAACTGCATTCTATTAATGCTAGGAATATTTGTCTACAAGGTAATCTCTGTTACAAATTATAGGAATATTTCTATGAACAGAATAATCTGGAATATTTATGAAATTTTCCGATATTTTCCTTTATTGCAAAAAGATATTTTCGTTATTTAAGTTCAAATGAGAACATGTTTCTTTAAATAGAAGTCGAGCAGTCAGCACCAGACCAGTTCTCTTTTTGACGTTGTTATTATGACGTCACAATAATAAGGATGTCACAATGACCACAATAACGTTACTCAGAAGACTGAAAAGAATGTGTGATGATATTCATAATGGCAATATAAGGTAAATGATAATGTAAGACAACACAATTTGTAGAACATGTTCTAACCGTTTTATTTTAGTATATATTATATGTAATACACGTACGAGTATATAAATGACAAGCGAAAAACTACTTATATGACCAATTACAAATTTGGTTTACTGTAAGAAGAAAATACATTTGATTTCACTCATCGAGTTGATTAAGGAAAACCAACCCAGTGAACATGTCTACATTTACATCATTCTATATAGAACCAAACCCGTACACCAATAGCACTGAATCGTCACATCCTGTAAAACAAATTGAATGATTGTCTGTGGCTATTGTTTTCCATTTCAGTATGTTCCTACATATTTCATCTGTTGTACCATCATTTGTGTAAGAAATATCACAACACAAACATTACCAACCTCACAATTAGACGTGGTGTCTGTTTACCCGTCTCACTACCGGAACACCAACGTGGTGTCTGTTTACCCGTCTCACTTCCGGAACACCAACGTGCTGTCTGTTTACCCGTCTCACTACCGGAACCCCAACGTACTGTCTGTTTACCCGTCTCACTACCGGAACACCACCGTACTGTCTGTTTACCCGTCTCACTACCGGAACACCAACGTGGTGTCTGTTTACCCGTCTCACTTCCGGAGCACCAACGTGCTGTCTGTTTACCCGTCTCACTACCGGAACACCAACGTGCTGTCTGTTTACACGTCTCACTACCAGAACACCAACGTGATACCTGTTTACCCGTCTCACTACCGGAACACCAACGTGCTGTCTGTTTACACGTCTCACCAACGGAACACCAACGTACTATCTGTTTACACGTCTCACTACCAGAACACAAACGTGATACCTGTTTACCCGTCTCACTACCGGAACACCAACGTGCCGTCTGTTTACCCGTCTCACTACCGGAACACCAACGTGCTGTCTGTTTACCCGTCACGCTACCGGAACACCAGCTGTCTGTTTACCCGTCACACTACCGGAACACCAACGTGCTGTCTGTTTCCCCGTCTCACTACCGGAACACCAACGTGCCGTCTGTTTCCCCGTCTCACTACCGGAACACCAACGTGCCGTCTGTTTACCCGTCTCACTACCGGAACACCAACGTGGTGTCTGTTTACCCGTCTCACTTCCGGAACACCAACGTGCTGTCTGTTTACCCGTCCCGCTTCCGGAACACCAGCTGTCTGTTTACCCGTCACACTACCGGCACACCAGCGTGCTGTCTGTTTACCCGTCTCACTACCGGAACACAAACGTGCTGTATGTTTACCCGTCTCACTACCGGAACACCAACATGCTGTCTGTTTACCCGTCTCACTACCGGAACACCAACGTGCTGTCTGTTTACTCGTCTCACTACCGGAACACCAACGTGCTGTCTGTCAAACTTTTCAACACGTTATCTCATTTTATGTAGCTTTCTTATCAATAAAAGCACGTCTCTGTCAATAGCTAGTTTTAAGCCTAACTTCAAATCATTAAATTGTTTAATGTAAATATGTAGTTTGTCATACAATATAAGTAAATGATTTTAATGGATATGCATATCCATTAAAAAATATAACAATAAGAAAAAGGTGGCCTCTCACGACTTTTTAAGTCTATTTCTGGTAGGCGTTATATCTCCAAGAAAAAAGTCAGTGCGCATGTCTGTTACGTCATATCCATGGCTACTAGAGATCCTAGACTGATGAGTTCATTATGCAAAAATCTTCGTACATAACTGAGAATTCACAAATTCTGAAATGAGAAAGATACCATTACATTTATCTCGTGATAGTCGTCCGATGGTAAGTACAACATATGTCGAATTATCGGCCATAACAAAACAGTAAAACCTATCTTAAAGACCACCCGCCTAAGGAAAGTCTTTTTATAAAGGCTGTTATACAACGCCATTTATCCCTCCCTTGGACGGCCTTTTTAGACAGATTTTACTGTACAAGACAGTGCAGACTTTCTCTGGTGGGACAAGGCCATGATATGTAAAGTATCTTGAAATAATGTTTGTAAAATAATATCATTTTGTTTTGTTTTTCGTACCTTTTTGAATTAGGAAAAATGTTTTGAAATCAAACGAAATGCGATGTTGTCGATAGTAAATACAAATATGTGGTTCCAAAAAGTGTTTAGGCAGTTTTGGTAACAGAACTACACTTTCAGACCTGACCTATCTACTATAGAGTGTGTGGAGTTCTTCTCCGCCAGAAGTCCCTAGAACATTAGATTTGTAAACAATAAACCTGGACTAAACGGTGATAACCCTAACCATGGTAACGGTGGTAACCCTAACCATGGTAACGGTGGTATTCCTAACCATGGTAACGGTGGTAACCCTAACCATGGTAACGGTGGTACCCCTAACCATGGTAACGGCGGTAACCCTAACCATGGTTAGGGTTACCGCCGTTACCATGGTTAGGGTTAGCACCGTTACCATGGTTAGTGTTACCACCGTTCCCATGCTTAGGGTTACCACCGTTAACATGGTTAGGAATACCACCGTTACCATGGTAACGGTGGTAACCCTAAACATGGTAACGGTGGTAACCCTAACCATGGTAACCAGGACCTCTTGATAATAATACTTCCGATAACAACAATTCATGAATAATTTGAACAGCGAGTGACCTTTTTCATTTCATTTTTTTTCTTTTCTTTTCAATATTATAGTCGATTTTGAAACAAACAACAAACATTACAAACAACCAACTTACCGCTGTAGTCTATCTGGCCGTCACCATTCACATCGGCGTCTAGTATAAACTGCTCGACATCCATTAGGTTTTCGGGAGGAGCCTTGAAAGTGAGTGCCGCCCTCAGCTCGTCTTGACTTAAGAAGCCGTCTTTGTCTCTGTCTAAGACACGGAATGCCGCCAGCAGTCTCTCCTTCTCAAGGTCTATTTCGATATAATTATGTTTCATCATATGTTTGTATTCCTCAAAATTGATGAAACCGTCGCCTGTAAGTATGATAACGATACAAATATGATCTTAGATATATTGTCCTTTGTGGATATCATAGGATATGATAAACAATAAACAAGGCCAAAGTTTACTTTCTCAAACCGACTATTAGACAGAAATTATTATATGTATATACGTTTATTTACCAATTTGAGCTATTGTTAAATACAGATAAATAATCCTTGCTTTTTAAGAAGTAGACAGTAGGTATAGCGGTTATAATTCAGTTATTGTTACAGGACTAATGTTTGGAACTCTCCGGTGTGTATAACCATACAGCTCTGGAGTGTCTTAAGGACTCACACATCTCAATCAGCCAATCAGCAAGTGTTTAACACGATTGTAATTCCTACCTAAAATTGTTCCGGTTAAATACAGTGACTCTGAGTAATTTGAATAGGTAATTGTTGACATATTTTACATTGAATGAAATCCACAGATATTGAACTTTAGGAAAATGTATACTTTTAGTAGATTTTGTTATGTGATGGCGGATTGATATGGGGTCAAAATTCAGAGGGTGTTCCCGTCCCACTTCACCGGTTATCAAAAGAGTTGTCACAAGTGTTGAACTTCAAATATTAAAGCTATTATCTCAAAAGCTCTGTTATAACATGTAGTAAATGATTTAGTTGTGCGAGTCCTTCAGATTAAACCTGGTATGAAAGTGTGTTCAAGATAAAAGGAACACACAGAAATAGTGTATTTGTCAAATATATATCTCCATGGAAGCCAAAAGGATACCCTGAGTCTGAGAGATCAAATGTCAAAGTGGATATACCCATGCGCCCTTTCTTCTGTCAGCAAGAGTGATTTATAAGGTGATACAACTTATTTCATATTAGTTGTTATATAAATAAAGTGTGTACTTAGGACTGCTCTCTTTATTTTGGATGGTAAAGTTACTAATAAACGCATCTTGTATAACAATAGAAGTGACGAAATATGGACCTAATGTATGACCCCGTGACCTTTTCACCTCTCGACACGTACCGTCAAGGTCAGCTAGACTCAACATGGCTTGAGCGTCCTCCTCTGTGGGGTTCATCCCTAGCAGTGCCGCAGCCTTGAGCAGTTCGCCCTTCGATATCCGGCCATCACTGTTGAGGTCAATCAGTTCAAACGAGGCTATGATCTCTAAAACAATAAGGGAGACAACTATACCAACCGGTTATCACACGTCCAAATGAAACGATGTCACTGGTATAGGTTAGTGAGTATAATCTATGTCACTGGTATAGGCTAGTAAGTATAATCTATGTCACTGGTATAGGCTAGTGAGTATAATCTATGATGTTACAGGTAAAGGCTAGTAAGTATAATCGATGTTATTCCCAGATTGCTTATCGAATTTTCAAAGGTTCTACTTTCCTTTTTTATGCGCAATATTTCAAAATATATCCTACTCTTTACGACCTACCCTCTAATAAAGCCAACGTTTCGTTGATGGCAGTGCAACATAGTTTTATTGTACTATTTGATAAGCTGTATTTGGACCTACTCTAAGGTGTTCAGAGTAATTTTACACGTTTCAGGGGTTTAAATCAACTTTCGGTAAAATATGAAAACCCCAATAATGCCACGAGAAGGGTGGGAAGCTCTCGATGTCAAAAAACCCCACCTAACTTTCTTGCAATGAAAAAACACATTTCTAGTAGATGTACGAAATGATGAATATTGTTTTCGTTTCAAAATCTTCTATATGCACTTAGAATCTTCTTCCGCGGACAAGATCTCCGTTCCCCCCAAAATTTTCGCAGTTATAGCGCCACTTTTCGCATATTTATGAGGTTTACGTCAGCCACGTGCAGAATCATGTCGTGTTGATTGGCTTGTTATTTTAGGGGGAAATGGCTGCGCGTCCAGCCAAGCGCACGTGGCTGACGTCAACCTCATGAATACGCGAAAAGTGGCGCTATGTCTGCGAAAAACTTTTTCACCGCCTTATGCATAGTTACAGTAAGCCAACCTTTGAGCGAGCATGTCAACAAAAACGTAATTCTTTATATGCAGAGTTTATTACAATTTCTTGATATGATTTGTCACTTTATGTAGTTACAGTAAAACTTTCTAACCCGACTCCCAAGTATCCTGACAAGCTGTTTTATCTTCATTCCGCTATAATCTCATTGCTTAGAAATATATCAAATAAATCCTCTGTATTGTGAATCCCTGTCTTACATGTAATTAATACATATGATACATAATGGTGTCGGATTAGGCAGGTTTCACTGTCTCTAACTCCTTTTTTTATACATAACTACCTTCCATGTGGGCGTCTTTCAAGGTGTTGTCGTGTATTACCACAAACGGTAGATTTTTAGACATTCGTCGTTCCACGGTCGGAGATTTGGGGGCGCCGGGGGTGCTTGCTTTTGGTGGTATCGATATTTTGAGATCGTCTCGTCTTTGTTTAGACATGCGCCGTTGTGTAAGTGGCGGAGTCTTCTGAACAGTCCCAGCTGAAATCGGTATGGTCATTTTGCGATGGCTATCCACGACTATGGTCCGGCTTGTTCGCCGTTCAGACGTCATCTTGATTATTTTACGGTAATATCTTAATAGTTACGACTAATGGAGGGAATCATTTATGACTGTCGTGGTTCCACCTGGAAAATATTGAAGCGATATTATTTACTGTAGAGTACTGAAGACTATGAACTTGTTTAGGGAACAATGTCCCAATGCAGGACAAAATGCTAGATACTCAGGGAGGCTCCTTTGTGACACCCTTCCGAAGAATTAAGGTTACATCTTTTTTTAACTTTGTCGCTGTCACTGTGTTGACAGCGTTGGCAGCGTGGTAGCATTGCGGTTTATGTTTTGGACTGTTATTCTTTTATATTTTTAACACAGGAAATACGCTATTGTGGTCTACCTCATTAGATTCTGGAACAAATCAACTATAGCTAGCCTTGAATCGTTAATTTCACCACGATATATGTCTGGGGTTGAGAGAAGGCATGTATATCCAGAGCGTGAAGATGTATTTTACAGACTCCTACCGATGTCCCGATGACTTGACACCTGATTCTTGTATATTCTATTTTGTTGAGATTCGCTGCGTTTCTTCACGTTCCATCACGCGCAATGTATTTTTTCATTAACTTCTCCCTGAGACTTTATCACATTGGTTTTTGATAAATGTTCATTTTTACTCGAGCTTTTTCCATTTTTGTACATGTGTCTAGTTTTCCTTTCGAAACCTCATCCACGTCTATGTCCAGCTCCTCCTAACATTCCTCTGTGTTATATCAGGGGCGCAATATTTATGGACAGTTTAGTGTATCAGACATAAGGCACATAGGATTTCTGTGACCAAGAGCGCTCTGCTGTTAAAGATTCGTGAGCATTTTTCCCGCGTCGGTTCTGACGAGGGCCTGAGTACTGAGCTCACTCTCGTTCTATGTCCAGTAATTGTTTTGTAAATTGAGAAAGGCGGGTTTCCCTTAAATATTCAATAAAACATTTATTTTTCGCCAGAAATCTATTTGCTTTTCCGGAAGTTTACTATCTCTCATAAATAGTTTATCGCTAATCGTGTGTTGCTGTTTTGATTATTAGTTCTTGAATCTTTTAAAAGTTTTCCCCACTTAAGTTCGAATTTATAGATACACTCAGCCAACAGATGTCTTTGTTTGGAAGTTTTTCTTTTATAGGTGTACCAGTGAAATAGGGTAGGGAGTGGGGT